ACGCAATTAAAAACACACTCAGACATATAATAATCAAGATCCCAGAAATTCAGCACAGGAACAGTATACTAAAAGCTGCTAAAGAAAAGGAACACATTTAAAGGAAAACCCATCAGGATAACAGCAGATTTCTCTTTTCACAAACCATCAAGGCAAGAAGAGCATGGAGCAAAGTACTTCAAATCTTGCAAGAAAATAAATTGCAACCCAGAGTGATACACCCTGCAAAACTCTGTTTCAAGTATAATGGAGAAGTGAAATACTTCCATGACAAAGAACATCTTAAGAAATGATGACAAAGCCAAACCTACACAGACTACTTAAAGATGTTCTAAGAGGGAGCAAAATGACCACAACTCCATGAATGAGAATGGAAAGAACTGTTGGGCCGGGGAGATGGCTCAGTGGAATAAGTGCTTCCCCAGCAAGTGCAAGGGCCTGAGTTCAATCCCCAGTTCCACAAAAAAAAAAGAAAGAAAGAAAGAAATGTTTTCATCCTCAGGTAGATGCTGCTTGTGCTGCTGGGCTCTTGGAGGCAGCACAGACGTGTGAGCTGTTTTCCCCTCCTTAGGAAGACTAATGCAGAACAATCGATTTCATTTTTAAAATTTTGAACCAATGCAAAGAATGAGAAGATTTAATGGTTAATTAGGCAATTCAGTCATTCTCACTCTCGTACTCTCTCTCCACTATCCCACTGAGACCTGGAAAAAATAATCCTAGACACGTGTGTTGGCAAAGAAAAGAAAGGCTACCAGGACATTTGACTCACATCCCTCCTGGATGTCTCATTATATTAGATGGAGAAGACACTGGAATTTTTCCAAAATACAGTATTCCATTAATGCATTTTTTTGTTTAAAAATGAATTTCTTTTCAAGCAAAGCCAAGTTGAAAAATCACATTTCACCACTAAGAAAAATATGAGTTTTGCTGAGGATGTGAGAAAAAGATCCCACACATTGATGATTGGTGGGAATGTAAATCAGTGAAGCCATAATGGAAAACAGTATTGATATTCCTCAAAAAATTAACACTAGAACTACCACATGATCCAGCAATCTCAGTTCCAGATATCTATCCAAAGCAATAGTCACTTTCTCAATAAGAAAAAAAAGAGTGCCCTCTAGTGGCTCATGCTGTGGCTCAGCGGAGGCAGAAAGGCTCCAAGCTCCGCACCACAAAGCCAGACCTGGGACCCCATTCCTATGCTTTTCTGTCTCAGACTCTCTTTATAGGATCTATCTCTTGGTTCCTGTCTCTACCCATCTCCCTCTGCCCCTAAATCTCAGCATAGTCTCTCTTCTGCCCTCAGTTTGTCCCCAAAGGGAGATATCAGCTGAAGAAACTAGAGGATAGAGGCCAAGGAGAGTTGAGTCTAGCCAGGGTGACTTGTAGGACCGTCCTTGTCCCCAGCCTCTCCGGCAGCATGTCGGGCCTACTGACCAACAAGTAGCTAGGAGACAGCTGGAGCCCATCCTTTTTTCCTTTCTTTCTTTTCTCTTTCTTTACAGAACCCGGGATTTGAACTCAGACCCTTGCTGCCAGACAAGTGCTTTTCTACTGAGCTATCTCCCTGCCCTTCCCCTTTTTCTTTTTTAATGTATTTGGTTGTTGCAAGGTCTCATTATGCAGCTCTGACTCGCACTGATCCTCCTGCTTTCAGGTTCCCTAGTGCTGGGATTACAGGTATGCACCACCACACCCTGACTCCAGCCCATTCAGCCTGCCCTGGCGGGTGGAGATGGTGCTGCACGGGTGGAGATGGTGCTGCACATAATGCGGGGAATCAAACCTCGTCCCTGTGCTTGCCTGGGTACCCCAAGCAAGTTTGCCTAAGCAGGCGCTTTAATCCACTAAGCTATCTTGCCAGCCCCTAGGTCACGGTTCTTGCTTTGAGGGGAACTAGATTTCAGGACACACGGGAAGAGAATGAAGTCCAAAGGTCAAAGGAATCATGCTTTGGTACTGATAAAGGTTCAGCCCAATTACCCCCTCTCGTGTCCTCACACACCCACTTCTGTCCTCCCATGCTGACAACAGATCCAAGACTAGAACACCTTACAGCATCCAGAATACTTTATTGCAGAGTCGAGGTACATCCTGCACTGGCCCCACATGGAGCCCACCATTCAGGACAGGAGATAGATGCTGGGCACATACACAACAGCAAAAGTCCAGCTCTAAGAAACCTTGTAGGACAGTAGCAAAGTCCAGCCTGACAGTGGCTCTGAGACTTCAATCATGAGGCTGGACCTCAGTCTCAGTCTCCAGTCGGGCACCCATCTAGAGCCTACTGCCACCAACTAAAGCTCAGACTCTTCCCTCCCTGCTATCATAGGGAGACCTATCCAGCATCAATAGAGCAGACAGAAAACCCAGGGAGACCTAGCCTCCTGGCTCTATCAGGTGCTTACTCAAATCTCCCGGTTCATTCCTTTGTTCTAAAAACCACAGACCTGCTTAGCAGAAGGTACTGAGCAGGGGCCCCCCACCTCTCAGCCCTGGCCCAGCCCAGATGGGTAGCAGTGGGGTTCACACGAGGGCAGCTCAAGCAGCGAGCTGCCTCAGAGTTCCCTTTCTTTACAGGTACCTCAGAATGCCATGGCACTGGGCCCTGCTCTCCTTGAATCACAATCCCAGAGCTAAGGGAGCCAGATTTAATACTGGGACCCAGGGCCAGGGAGATAGCTCAGTAGGCAAGTGCAGGGTCCTGAGTTCAATCCCTGGTACCACAAAAAAAAAAAAAATACTGGGACCCATAGTACAACCAGAGATCAGGGCTCCTCGTGGCCATCTGTTGCCCAATTCAGGACTTGGCTGCTACTGCAGGCAAGAGAGGTAGGAATGAAATGAATGCCCCAAGCCCTGGGAGCCATGGAAAATAAAACTTCCCCTGCCTGCAGGGGAGTACCAAGCTATCCACCAGTGAGTCCATAGGAAAGCCAGCAACTTCAGCCATCCATGTCTAGGAGGAGGCTGGTATGAGGCCAACGCATGGGAAGGGTCACCTGAGGGTCACAGCGCTCAGGATAGCCCTCACGGGAAGTCCAGCAGCCAGTAGGTGAGTGCGGAAAGCCCACAGGGCTAAGAGGAATGCATGGCCCTTGAGCTGGGCATTGGAGCCAGGTACCAACCAACCCTCTGTGCAGAGCCAGTCCTGAGTGACAATTCCATTAACAGCAGCGTTCTTTATGTCCAAAGTCTTTTCAGTCCACACTCATTTATTCCTTATTCATGGCCACTGAAGGACAATAAACAATAATACTTCCCAGGGCAGATGCTTCATAGCCCAGGACCCAGGATCTTTATTGGCCACCAATTTTGCTAAATTTATAATCCATGACAGCTTCAGAGGCCATGAAAAGTCCCATGACTGACCCATCCAAGTAGCCCTGCCTGACACAGGACTCAGGGCCCAAGAAGCACTTGTTTCAGATAGGCCAGTGTGGTGGCATTGGCCAGCATCTGGATGTGCTCGCTGCCTGGTAGTTCCTGCAATGCCACTTGCTGCTCTTGGTGTTTCTGCCAGGTCCGGCAATGCAGGGCACTCTCCAAGTTCACAGTGCCGTCACCATCACCAAAGTAGATTTTAGGGTCGCGATCAGGGAAGGTCTCATAGTAGAAGGAGTCTGGTGTGGGGACACCAGTGCCATAGAGGCAGTGCAGCGGCACACCAGGTGGCACCATGGCTTCAACCAGCCCATCTGTGTTCTGCCGCATGAACCAGCCATCTTCAAAGCCAATGTCCTGGAAGAACCGGTGATAGTCCTGCAGTGTATAGTTGGTCGTCGGTGTGCGTACAAACACCTTCTCAGGTGACCAAGTGTAGTTGTAGGGCAGCAGCCAGCTGGTGGAGACTGCAGACCGCTGCTGCTCCCGGATCTTCAGTGACTCAATGACAGGGATCCGGTTGTTGTCTCCTACCAGGAGAAGGGCCTGTGAGTCAGTGCTGAGGAACACAAGCTGGCTGGGCAGTAGGTTGAGCACAGACCTTCAGCCCAAGCCCCAGCCAACGGCCCCTCCAGCCAACACTCCAGAAACTACACTTAATCATGTTATAACTTTATTTCCTGAAGTGGCTCTTACTCTTTTCTATTATTTTTGCTACAATCCAAGCCTTGTTTTGTTTCTTTTGCATTTCTGTGTGCATGGTGTATGTACCCGGGGCCTTGGGCTTGCCAGGCAGGCACTGTGCTGTTGAGCTAGCTCCCTGGGGGATTGAACTCAGGCCCTTGCACTTACTGGGCTTTATTTCTGCAGAACTGGGGACTGAACTCAGACCCTTGCACTTGCCAGGTAAACGCTTATATACTGAGCCATCTCCCTGGCCCCATTTCCTTTTTTTTTTTTAAAAGAAAGCATTATTATGTAGTGCAAGCTGGCCTTAAACTCACTAGGTGGCAGGTATGATAGCCATAAAAAGGCAAGTGAAGGGCTGGCCTGATA